TTTACCCGATGCGAGGTTACCGGTGGTTTCAATTTTTCGACTCGGTCTGTTCTCAAATTTGGTTGAGGCGATTTATTTTTGACTGTACGGCAGGCACACTAGTACTGAAACTGTGGAGTTTGGAAACTGGCTTTCACAGTTTTTACGTCAAGTTGGAGTTACCAGGGTAAAATACCACCAAGGTAAATGTTGCTGACGTAAATTATCGTAGTATGTATGGTATCTGGTGATAGCACATTTTTTATCTCTAATGCTGTGAATTATTTTAGAAGTAGTGGAGGAAGTGCTGATTAGGCAAAGCCGCATAAAACAAAATGACCGTGGAGCAGTCCTTTATCGCAACAGTGGTGGAATAGGACCAAGCATTACAGTAAGCGAATGTGAAGTTCAGAACAATGGATATCATCTGTTTGGGAATATAAGCACCACAACGCGGAGCATTGAAATGCATCTTTTTAATACTTTGGTATTTCTTTTCTCAAACCTGATTTCTTTTTTCACATGTTGAGAAAACACAAAATGGGCATGGCCATTTGATTGAATGCAGTTCAGGATTCAGGAAACCTGTCAGTAGTTGTCGTTTTCGGATTTTTATTTCCTCGCATTTTGTTAGCATTTAGCCTGTCCACACTAGTGCGGCCGAGTTTCGTTGTGGGTTTTTACATTTTTCTTGTGCTCAAACTGTTCGGGCATTGCAGGCTTCCAGTTGCGTTGCTTCTTTTCAAAGACTAAATTACCGATGGAGTATTTCACACGCAGCAGTATCCTTGTCGGAACTGGTGATTTGAAATTGATTGCCACTGATATTATTCAGTTCCTTTGTCCACCTAAAAAACTCGTCCTGAGTTTTTGTTTAAAGCGTGCTTCTTTCCTGATTTATCGTTGCTTTTTAGATGGTTCAGTTTCGTAACAGCTTACTGACGCATAATATGGGAGGCCTGTGGTTGACTGCACTTACAGCGAACTCTGTTGCGCGGCTAATTGTTGTTATCAGGGAATGCGCATTCATGCACAACTCGAATGGTACTGTACTTGCCTTCCTCGGTAGTGGCAATCAGGTAATACTTTCTAAATTATTATTCGCTGAACGAATGGTCACTATAGAAATGAAGAACAAAAAGCATAAAAGAAAGTTAAAGGTTGGTGGAAAAAGTGCGAGTTTCACAAATGCAGGTCCTCACAAATGAATTAGCAATTATTCCAAGTATAGCAGCCTCTGTATCTGGAGGGTACTGTTGACAGAAATTACTCAGACAGTTGCCTTCTTCTTCTTCGCTTATTTCCAGGACTGGAGATTGAAAGCAGCTTTTAATCTGACAGGTGTGAAAGCCTCTGTTTGCCTTTTATCTGTCACTTTGGGTACCCACAGCTCAGGTTGAAGGGCGTGGCATAGCTGCGCATTGCGAATGGGAACTAGCAACATCACTAGCATTAGATCCTAGCGTTAATTGCTTGGGCAGTGTTGGTGTTTTTGAACATGGTAGCTTTTGCTCATTTATCTTATATAATATCTGCCTGTAATC